TTCTACATCGTCATGCAATTCTTTCGACAGAATACTCAATAGAGGTGAAATATTCGCCATGTCTGAGAAATCAAAGCGGCAGAAAAGATGCTTCGTCAGTGACGAAGATGTCTCCACTCTTTTACAGAGGTACTGGATTAATCTTCTATAAGAATTTCACTTTTTGTTTCAAAAAATGTGTCTGATGGAACTGGAAAGGGATCAGTTTTTTTTTCCATTGCGAATTCTTTCGTTAACTGATGATGAAATGCACGGATTCAATACTTCAGCCTTTGTTTTTTTGGCTATTGATTGGGGATTCATGCAGATACGGCCCGACAACTGTGCTGGCATTGTTGCAAGAGGTCGCGCAGGTGAGGGAAGTGAATATTGATTGGAATGAGTTGGTGAAGAAGACCAAAACCGGGATTACGAATGCCAGGGAGTACCAACTATTATGGCGTCATTTGGCTTACCGCCAACCATTGGCCGAAGGATTGGTTGATGGGGCTCAACCTCTGGTTTGTTAATCCATTCATATTCTCTCATATGTGTGGGTTCTTGAAAAGGATCTCTTTATTAATGTTATTATTATTCTTAGGGGGGATAAAGCTTCAAGAAAAGTAAGGATATGTAGGGAATTCAAATGTGGGATTTTAGTTTAAATTTGAGAAGATCATATTTTTGTTGATTGAAAGGACTGGTTTAATGACGCTAGGAAAAATGGAAAGGGAGTTATTTTGAGTTTTGAATTTTGTAAGTCAAATGCTAGCTGCATATGCATCACAAGATATGCAGAGTAAAACACCACATTATTTTTCAAATACCTGCCCTTTTCTTTTGTTATTTGGGTAACACATTTATATTACTGCTCTGTAATTCTAATCCTGAAATCTTCACTTTTTATATCAATAGGTTGGGGTTGGAGTTCACTTGATTTAGGTTTTGATGAGGTTGTAGTTTTTTCTTGGAGTATAGAATACTAGAATAGGGTGTCCTGTAAACAGAGCTGGATTTGCTCCAACACTATACCTCTTAACAGATCAACTTTTAAGGGTTTTCTATATGTTGTGCCTTATTGACTGTCATTAACCATATTTTGATTAGTTGGGATGTGCTTCAACACTATAACTCTAAACTAATGAACTTAATTATGAGCTCCCTTAGTCCAGAAAAGGGACATATTAATTAATTCTTTTTCCAAAAATAAGACTCTTGTTTAAAAAACTGAAGCTATTTTTTGGCGAATATATGCAATTTCACAAAAAAGAGTCCTAAACGAGTAAAACATGGTAAATTGTAAAGTTTCACCTTAGACGGAGGTAGTATTTTGTAAAACAAAACCATTTGTAGTACACCCTCTTAGGTATCTGTCATTATGTACAGAGTAGTATTATCTAGAAAAGCACAAAACATTAATTTAACAATCACCTGGCCTTTTTACTCATTTTACATTAAATGAGTAGTTAGAATGTGTTCCTACTCGTCGATACGTAGTGCTTGATTTGTTATAGCTGTTCTGCCTCTAAGCTCCAGTTCGTTTGACCTTGAGAATTTTGGATGGCAGGATGATGACAGTGATTTAGAGTATGAATTGGAATCTTACTCGTCAGTAAGTAGTGAAGCATCAATGGAGGCTGCAGCATGCGTAAAGGTGAAACAAATCTAAATTCATGAAGAAATTTCATCCAATCATTGTATACCCTTCTTGGAAAAGCTGCATCAAGCTTGTTTCTGTTTAATAAAGCTTCTTTGTACCAGGCATACCATTTGCCTGATGTAAGCGATAGCTTGGCTATTATAACCTTTTATATAGGTGCAGTGATACTAAGAATATGATAATGATTAAGAACGAAACTGTGAAACTCCAGAAGAAACAATATAGAATTTCCTAGTGTACTCATTCACAAGATGACCCCCAGAGCCTTCTGCATTTTTACGCTGTATTATGGGGTTTGCACGCAGCACTAGCTCTTATAGATGTACTTGACTGTAGAGTTCACCAACTATTTCTATATGTAGTGGGTGTTGGCCTTGTGTATCAACAATCTTTTTTCCCATAAGTACTGATGATAAGTTGGTAAGCATTTAATTAGTCACATATATTAATGGCCTAAGGAGAAACCTTAAGATAGCAGACCTATCGGCTATCACTAAACATACACCACACATTGTTTAATTGGAAGATGTTGATCATTAGTGTTAGTTTTAATCTCAACAGGCATGATAAAAAGTCAGGCAGTATCCTATAGTATACGCTTGTGCAGATTTTTTCCCTTCTCTCTCGATTGTGCGCGCTCTTGTGAGTGCTAAACCGCTAACTAATTATCTGGCAGGAATGCACTTGCATTCAAAAATTTAACTGTATAGAAGTGCTGAGGTATTTGTGATGGGGTTTGTTTTGGACTTGAATAGGTATTGATTGCTTCTGGGACACTAAATGATTCACACATGTCAAATGGCATGACAATTGAGGCTCCATTGACTATAAATATACCTAATGGACAAAGATCTGAAAGTATTATGGATGCTTCACCACAAAGTATTCCCATGCTGGAGTCAAATTTTGTAGTTCCAGTTACTGTGCCAAAAAATCCACTGCCCAGTGTGATATCAAGCAAGGGATTAGATGTCAATGGAGCATCAGGTGCAAATTTACCTCAACGGAAAAGAAAACTGTGGTCTGAAACAGAGGATAGAGATCTTATTGCAGCGGTGAAAAGACACGGTGAAGGAAATTGGACAAACATGGCGAATATGTATTTTAGTGGTTACAGAACAGCTTCACAGCTATCTAAGGTTCCTTTTCTTCACTACATACTTTTTCTCTAGATCTTTATGAGGTTTAAATAACCTGCCGATTCATTTTTCTGAGCGAATTAGTGAGTTAACTTTACTGTACACCTATTTAATGGGGATTTGTGTGATTGGTGTTTTGATGTCTTTTGTTGCACAAATACGCAATGTCTGTTGATGTACAAATATGGAATGTCTGTGGTTGTTAAAATGAAAAAGATATTTGTTTTTGCTCAGGTTTCTTGGGTTCAAATACTGAAGTACGTATGTGTCTGGGCCTGGCCCATATGACATTTTGTTGCAAAAACATCAATAAACATTACTCTGTTTTACTTGGTGTTTTCTTATTTCCCATTCTGTATTTACTCCGGTTCTACTCCTGCAGAGGTGGGGCATTATAAAGAAGCAACAAGGTTCCTCGGGTGGGAACCAATCAAAACTCTCAGAAATTCACTTGGCTCATCAGGCAGTTAATCTGTCTCTTAATGTACCTATCAGGGATAATCTGAAATCAGCAGCTTGTTCAGTCATTAGCGGTAATTCTTTCGACTTTTGATAATGGGATTTTGTAGAAAAATTTAAGAATTCAAGATGTCAATGTGTCATCTTGTTGGTGTAAATTGCCTGAGGTATTCTGATATGAAGTTTCTTTAAATGCTTGATCAGACCTAGATATGGTGGCATCAGATTTTATCAAATGTTGTATACAAAAAGAGATCAGAATCTGATCTCCTAAGGGACCTAAACACATCGTTTCCCAAGTTTTTTTTGTCTCTTTTTATTCATGTGAGCTTTTTTTTACTTGGACTAGATGATTCGATGTGCCATTTTATTGTAGGAGTGTTTTCTTCTCCTTGTGCTTCCATCATTGTTAGTGTGACTAATCAAATTCAATATGCAAATAGAGGGCGGAAATGCAAATGCTGCATCCAACTTTGGTGCATCAAGTGTGTCATCAAAGAAAGGACATCCTAAGAATGCTTTCAATATCGTGCCTGGTGGAGGTTTTGTCAACAAACCATCTCTATCTGCCAACACAAATTCATTACTGAGTAACGTGCGCTTTGCCCATACTAACTTACCATCCCATTCAATATCCTTATTAAGTGCCTCATGAAATGAACCTGAACAGGTGCAACATCATTCTGCAAATTTGGCCTCACCTAACCTAGGCAGTATGGTCTGCGGTCTTAAAGCTTCAATGAAGGTGGCCTCAAGTGACACACAAACAAATCATGTTGCTGAACTTGGCATAAAAACTGTCGAAGATACCACAGCTCTTTCTGGCTTGGAAAATGCATCAGTAAATCAAGCTAGTTCCTCAGGCTTTGCTTTCAGAAAAGACCAAATTGCTGCTTGTGCGAGAAATTCACTGTTGGAGCATGATGAAGGGGAGCAAATTGCTATTCCCGGGGACCCAGCAAGAGAGGAGAATGAAAAACATAGTTTTTCAGATGATAAACTCAAGGAGAACAGTAAAGGGAATCATGAAGCTTTAGTTGACTCTATTGCTCCAATATTAAATAGTCAAAGTCAAACAGAGAAACCTAAAATCGTTATGCCCTTCAATAATGGAAACCACGCAAAAAAAAGCTGTTCATAAAAGACAAATAAGGCCGCAACTGATATTCCTCTCAATGATGAACCATGCTGGGGTCAAGTGTAGAGCCCAAATTAGCTACAGTGCATGCTTGAAGAGAAAATCACAAATGGTGTGCTGAAGGATGTGCCAAGTTTGATTGTTTATTTGAAAAAGGAGTAAATGGAGTATTTTTACCCAAGTTGTACATAATGTTTGATTGTTAACCCCCCCCCCCCACGCACACACATGCAGTCAGGCACACTTTAACACATGCAGTCCGGCACACTTTACTTATCACTTTGGGTTTGTACATGATGTATAGTGGTGTATCTACAGTGTGTAGGTACTCAAAATTTTGAATTGTTTCCTACTTAATGATAACATGTGAGTGGATGGATAGCTATGTGAGTGGATGGCTAGCTATGAATCTTATGGGTATTGGAATGGATTTAACTGCAAACATGAAGCTGTATAAGATTCAAGATTTTGAGAGCGGGTTCACATGCATAGGCCCCGGTGTCTTTAAGATTGAAAATAATGTTGTCTTTTTGCACTTTATGTAATAATAATATGACATAAGGAAAGAACCCTCTTGGGTTGTGGTAATTTTGCAGCTAGTTAGTTTAGACCACAGTAATAAAGAGGGAAAAGAAAAACAGGAATCTATTTAGGCCTTGGTAATTCACTGTACTGTTTCTGCAGTGCTGGACTGACACATGCAAAGAGTGATGACCTCTGCTTCTGCTTCTTCAATTTCACTCCAAACAAGAATGATCTCAAGGGAATCTTAGACTGAGAGCTTTTATTGTCCCTCCTTAGTCCAAGTTCATCTAGCTCTTGGAGAGTCCTCCAAACCTCTGCCTGCAGCTTCTCGACACGCTTTGCCCCACCATGTAATTCACATGCTACCTTCTTGTTCTCGCGTTTCATGATAATAATCTCACCATGTAATTTTGCAGCTTGACAGACGCTCAGATCATTACCTTCTTCCTGAGGGCCTTCCTGAGAAAACCTGGTTATCTCTTCTTTGAGGTTGCAAAGAGATGACATCCTGTTTTGCAAGTCATCTTTTAGCACTGCACTATGTTCTAACCATAGCGTTAACTCGGTCTGAATCTCTTTCAAGTGCCTGTAAATAGGTCGGATCTCAGAGAGTTGTTCTAGCGGTTTGCTCTCCAGCTTCTGTTTGTTTGGCCTTTTCTTCTGCAGTTCGTCCTGTAAGTCTTTGACAGCACTCTGGAACTTCCTTATCTGATGGAAAGAAGTGCTGAAGCGGAGCCAAAATTCGATGTTTTCTTCCAACAGTTCATCGATGTCTGTGTTTATCTTTTCTTCAATGCTGTTCATCTTAATATCCTCATACTCTTGAATGCTAGATAGCTTCAATTGCTCTCTCGATGTTGATCCTTCTCTTGCAGGATCAACCCCCGTGATTGGAACATCCAAATATTCAGACAGAGTTTTTCTGTGCACTTCCTGACGCTTTATGTTATCATCTTTAGCCTCGAGGCCAGGTAATGTCGTGCTTTCACTTGACTTTAGAGCTTCCACTTGTTCCTCATTGAGTGAGCTTAGTTTCTTCAAAAGGGATTGAACCTCTGCATCCTTTAAGGCTAAGGAATTTCTTAGTATTTTTATCTGAACTACGTATTGAAAGTGGGCAGCCCTCCTCCTCTTTTCTGACTCATTAAGCTTCCTCTTTGATTCTTTATAATTTCTTAGGACCGAAATGTACTCCTCAAGTAGAAGCTTGTCTCTCTCATCTAAACCATTTACAAACAATGCTCTCCAATTTGGTTCACCATCATCTGCACCATGTTCGTCTTGCCCCGCAACTGTACTTAAATCGTGATGAATTCCTGCAAAAGAATATTGGTCAGGACCAGTTAATGGCATTAAAACAAGTCATTCGAGTTTTTCACAAATTTTTTCCTTTGACTATTTTGAGTTTGTGACAATGAAACTTTTGATGCATTTTTTGAAATTTTATACTTTAAGTCCCTTGGCTCAAATGGTAGTACCAACCATGAAAATTTTCCATTTTAGTCATTTAACTGCAAATTAAATGACACAACAGTCAGTTATGAAGCAACAGTCACTTCATGCAATTTTTGACGCGATTTTCACTATGAGTCATCCGAAAACAGCCTCTTTATGCTTTAGTACATAGGTAAGGCAGCGTTTATCCAACCCCCCTTACTCCACCGTAGGTGGGAGCCTTTGCGGCATTGGGGTAATGATGATGATGATAATCATTTAAATATTGCAAGTCGTAATGAAACAAAAAAACTATTGGAACAGTGAGACTTTTGGTTTTCAAAATATGGTGACATATTTGGTCCTCACAATTGTCGGAGGGCCAAAAGTGTCACTGTCACTTGGAATTAAAAGTTGAAAAATTAAAAGACAGAATCAAAACCATCCCTATCACATAGTTATAACACTTAAGGTAGAAAAATTAGAGGTGGCCATTGGAAATTTCATTGTCACAATAACCAGAGAATTAAATGTGAAAATTACTCAGATGGGCATACATTACCATCTTTCATTTGTTTCTCTTTCGGTGATTTATTCCCAGAGATGGCAGAAGTGCTATGATCAGTGGCTAAACCGTCTTGTGTTTGGAATCCCTTTATTGAAGTTGGATTAGTGTACGGAACACTAATACTACTTTCTTCCTTCTCAAACTTAACATTTGTCTCTTGATCTCCAGACCCTGATGAATTGCCATCAAGAACCGTGGCATCATCTGTGGGTTCCCCGGAAGAAGCACTATTCACAGGTTTGACTGAAATAGCATCTTTGACCTCTTCATCTGGCAACACATTTAGTAATTTCCCTGAGAGGTCATCAACTCTGCAACTTGCTTCGGTGATTCGCGTATATATGTACTTGCTTTGCTCAGTGATGCTTTGATTTAGGTTCTGAACTTTCTGAAGCTCTTCTTCCAGTTCTCTGATCTTATTGCCCATTGTTTCTGAATCTTTGAGCAAAGACTCCTTCTCCTCTTCCGTTCTTTGAAGATTAGCATGAAGATCGTTTGCTTCTTCTCTCAATCTGTTCACCTGAGCATTCTGATCCACCACTGCACTTTCTAAATGTATGATCTTATCCACAAGCTCATCAACCTTTTCTGCTAGACCGGATATGGTTAGGTGGGCGCTTGTACCACCAGATTGTATCTCTTCTTTTATCTTTACACGCAAGGACTCTATATCAATCTTTTCATGTTGTGTATTAGTATTCTCAATTTTCTGATTATTATTATTACTGCTATCATTATTATTGTTGTTATTATTATTACTATTATTATCTGATTTGATGGACTCCTCCATATTCTGCTTGACGGGTAATTTCCCCATGGGGGCTGGTTGTTGGCAACCCTCAAATGTTTTGACGAGAGACTGAAATCTTAGCCGTGCATCTTCAACCTTATCGTGCTCAATCTTTGCCTCTTCGCTGATCTGCTCCTGTTGTCCATGTAAGCGATCCAATGTCTCTTGGCAGGACTTCAGTGCAGTGGATGCCATTAGAGTTCGTGCCTCGTCGTCCTCAATTACAGCGCCAATTCCAAATTCATCCTGTAGGGAGGTGACTCTTGCCTGCAACCCTGTGATTTGGTTCTCAATATCCCAATACTTGACAACACCGTTTTCATATGAACTCTTCACAAACTCTTTCTCGGTTTGTAGCGCCAAAATATGCTTCTGAATCTTATCGATTTCATTAAGCGCCTCGTCTTTGCTCAGCCCTGAGGTTGGATGTGTTGATTCAGCATCGTCATTGAACTTGAGAAGCCCCTTGGTAGACATTAACCTCGACGGTTTCGCTTTCTTGTTGGCCATTGAAACAATTTCGGGAATGCTTAGCTTTGGAGCGGCAGGCAAATCTTTTGGGGAGATGATATTCCTTTCCCCTTGAGGCCTTTCAGGGAAGGTTTCGCTGCTCTCATCATCATCCTCCATGTCTAGTTGGACTCTTTCAGGGCAAACAGTGGCAATGGTTCTATTAGCACTCTGAAGCTCTTTTGAGATGTAATCATATCTCTCTGCTAAAGCTCTGTAGCTTCTGAAGAAATCTTCCACAAAGTTGAGAAGCTCAGGCCTTCTTCTGTAGTACATTTCTGCCCTTCTCGCGAAGGAGTCCCCATCCTCGTCTAGTATCCTCAGTATGTAGTCTACCTTCTCCTCCATATCTGCAACCAAAAAAGGTAACATCACCATTTTGGCCTGAATCTAGTGCATGTTTTATCCTTTAATAAAAAACTTTCCTTTTTTTGCTCTCATATGGGGGGTGGGGAGTGCCGGTTGTGGGCCAGGGAGGGGAATGAAAACTGTTAAGATTCTGTTTTAAAGACTCAATCGGAATGGTGGCCGGTGGGCATATTGCCTCCCTACCATTTTCCATTTTCACACCTTATGACTCTGAAGCTGGATCTGTTGTATAAAATCAATTGTTTACAGCCTAAGAACTAATGCTTTATTATTATTACCAGTATAACTGAAATGTTTTTTTCCAAAACTAAATTTTCCCAAGAACATCAATAGTTTTGGGGAATTATATAAAATAAAATAAAAATTACCTTGTAAGTTCTGCTCCAGCCATTTGGATTGTTTTGTCCTGATATGGCTAGCACACCACCATGAATATGCATTTCTCGCTGCTCTCTGCAACATTATCTCCTTCCTCTTCTCCCTTGTTCTTTCTGTAAAAGATGTTCATTACCTTTCCGAAGCTGAGATAATCATTCCCTTTTCTCTCTTAATTTCAAAACATCACAAACCAGATCATTCATCCACCAAACAAATCTGTTAAATATCTAAAATTAGAAATGAACAACAAAAGGAAACAAAGATTTGTTATTGTTTAGAACAAATGAACAATGTGCTTGGTATTGGCCGGGTTCAGGATCAAGGATATTTGGTCAAAGTGGGGAGGTTGCATGTCTTCCTTAGGCAGGCACAAATGTAGGAACCCCATTGATTGTTTGATAGGCCAGTTGGCATGATTTTTTTTCTGTTATGTTTTTGTGTGTGTGTATTTATCTATTGTTTTTCACTTGCATGTATGTGGGTAGCATTATATGTATCCCGGTAATTGTGGTAAGGAATGCGATTCCCAAAAGATTAAATATGTAATTATTTTTTATTTATTTTATTACTACATATTGTTATTTACGTAGTATATTACTATTATTATTACTATTACTATTATTACAATTATTACTATTACTACTACTATTATTGTTATTACTACTAGACGAAGTACCCGTGCGATGCACGGGGTATATCTAGAATGTCATATGGAGTACATTAGCATATTATTTAAAATTATATTTTATTAAGATGATACATATATGTAATTTTGCTAAATAAAAAAGACAATAGCTTTTACACAGAGTATATTGTAACTTTTATTAAATAATAGAAGTTGTAAGGAAATTAAAATTTGGACTGTATAAAAAAATGCAAGTAAAATTAAAATTAACGATAAATTAAAGTGTAAAAATAAGCTTTATGTTATGATGAAATGACAGTGTAGTACAACTATTAGTGGGTCATATAAAACTTTATAAAAAGAATGATCATATATCTCGATAATATACAAAAAGTATCATGATTTTTCAAAAAAAAAAAATCATTATAAGCCACAGGTGTTGACTGTTGATAGCATGACCCTCATGATATGTTAATGTATTTTTTGTAGTTTCGATCAAGCTCAAACAATTCACATTAAATAAAGGGGTCAAATATAAAACGTAGTTAAAATTTGGTTGTGCTCTAATTCCATAGTAAAGTATAATTATTAAAATTTGTATTAACAATAATTCTATCGGTATGTGTTGTGATATTTTTTGTTATTACGGTTGTAGTTTAGGATATATGTTTTAAATTTGATAAAAAAAATATGATCTAGTCTGATCAGTCTGAAGTGGTTTGGTAAATGTCTGTTTTTTGTGCATTTTTGCAATTGTCGAAGTTTGATTTAATATAATCTATTTGACTCTGGTCTGATCTGAGGCTAAACAATATATCTTTTTCGGTTTAAATCAATTTTTTTCAAACACTGCCGAATTTTACTAATGGAGTGCTTTCGATTGCTTCTACTTCAAAAAGTGATTTTCTAAAGTGATTTTGAAAAAAGTGATTTAAAGAAGAAAAAATGATTCTGAATAAGTAAAAGTTGGTAGTGTTTGTTAAAATAAGTGCTTATTGTGTAATAGAAAAAATAAAAAGTGGTTTAAAGCACTCTTTCACCTGCTTCCAGCTTTTAGCTTTTAAGTGCTTCATTTAAGCAGAAGCTATCATTTGAAAACACTTTTTTCAGCTTTTTTTAAGCCAAAACCTGAAAAACACTTTTTTTAAGTTTTAGCAAATGCTCCCTAATATTTGAAATAAACCACTCATGAAAAATAGAAGCAAAAACAAAACTTTTGTGGTGGAATGGGCCCTTTTGGTGACTATATTTTTCGGCTTATCATAGTTTATCAACCATTTTTTCATCAAACATGTAACTTTTGATTTTACGAATTAAAATGAGCTTTTCCTATGTTTTTACTTGGACTGAATTTGTTGGTCTGGTCTGTTCCGTTTAGGTCTGGTTTGAACGTACTGTTCTGGTCGATCTGGTAAATGTCTGGTCTCTGTGTATGTTATAACTATGAAAGTTTGATCTGATCTAGTCTGATCTGTTGAAGCCAGATTTTGATTCGAGATCGAAAAATAGTCCAAGTAACTAAACAATATAAAATATTCCCACATGATCTTAAATTTCAAAAATAAAAAATACCTACATTAAACATTATGGTATCCTGGATTTCATCTAGATGCACTGTTCTTATCGGGATTGTTAATGAAAGGCGCAAAATTAAGTATATACAAGGTTTGAGGGTCTGAACTAAACCGTTTTGTTGCTATTCATATAAACAAATTATTCAGGTTTTAGAAACTTAAAATTGATTCAATGGCACAAAATTTGGACAAAATATTTAGATTTTAACGACCTAAAGTAGCTTCGATTGCTTTTTTAGTGTTTAGGTGTAATTACTTATATGTACATTACATATATAACATATATATCGTATAAGGCAACATTTTTATTTTTTTATAGTTCTAATATCTAGATTGCAGATTTACGTATACATTATTTTGATTTTTAGTTAATTTGTTGATTTTTAGTTCTTTTTTACACTACACTTTCGTATACACTTTTTATAGTAGGTTGACAGTTTAGCCTAACATATCTCGGGTTGGAGATTAATATGCATATATCGTTTGATGAAGATTTGTGTACAATAAATGCTTCATTATTATATTTAATTTCCTTGCATGCATCTATACTCTACCGTTTTTCCCTTGGGCGGCCTTTTTTAGGTTCAACATTAATTTCCAATTGTGTCTTTTATTTGAGCGGGAATCTTCCCTCCAATAGTTGTGACAAGACTGTTACTTTATATTATATAAACATTATTATTAATACTATTATTATTATTATAATTATTACTATTACTAGTATTATTGTTGTTGTTATTCTTATTCTTATTACTACGTATTATTATTATTAGGTGCAAAACTTTTTACTGAAAAGGTTGTATATTTATCATGCATTTTTTTGGCAAAGTCGTATATGATAGATTGACAGACTCAAAGTCCTCATTACCAGATTGATCCCACAAAACACGCATTTTTGCATTTCTTTTGTTTCGGAAGTATTTCATGAGGGGTCAACCATCTACGCCTGCAGCTGTCCCATTTGTCCCTCTTCACAACACAAATAATACTCTCTCCCAAGAAGAAAATAACACTTTTATTGATAATTTACTTGCTAGTAGAGGGTTCAATGAGGGTGAAGGACAACAATGAAGACTTGCAGTAACTAATCACTATGTGCAATTTCTTTTAATGTCCTTGACAATTTATTTGTTTTGGAATGTTTATGTAGGATGTTGTACTTTTAAATTACTTGTTTTTGTTAAGCTTTAATGCATACAATTATGAGGGTTTTAGAATGAATAGTATTGTGAAACGGAAGTTCACAATATGATTTAGAATGATGTTGTGAATGGTATTTTGAAAAGGATGTTGTTGGTAAATGCTAGTATAATTTGGGAAACGTTTGAGGATCAAAAGAAGAATCTGCGTAGTTATTTTCAAGAATTCATTTGAATGTTTTCCCGATTGAAGTTTTAGCTGAAATTTGGTATGAGCTAGTAAACTAGGCTTAATGAATAAGACGTTCAAAAAATTGAATAAAAAAATTCCACCGCAAACCGCCCCAAATGACGACGGCCGGACAGAGCCTCCTATATAAGGGGTTATTTGACCTTTTTATGCAAGTACAAGGGCCTATCTGACCATTTTCCCTTTAGCTTTTAGTCATACAATTAAGGACTGTTTATTAAGAGATATTTTTCACTTTTATTTTCTGTTTTCAGTTCTCCAATTTTTCATTTTCATTATTTAGTTTTTCTATCTCTATTTTTGTTTTCATTTTCTAGTTTTCCATTTCCAAATTCGTTCATCAAATTTTTTCACTCGATTCTGTGACCGACTAGAAGACTCAAAGTACGGTCCATGTCCGAAACCGAATCTTGTACAATCCAAGTAGGGTACCCGGTCTCAACTTTGGGTATGTTTTGACATCAATTCAAAAGATATTTTTGAAAGTTAATTACTACGGTCATATGAAGACTTTCTATACTCAAAGCGTGTAGAAACTAGAAAGTCTTCATAAGGCCGGAAAGCATGGCACACGATGTTACAAATTGTATCATTTACATTTTTCCCGAATTCGTTAACGATGTTTGGTCATCATCAATTCTGTGAAACCATTCATTTTTGTTTCAATGCATCTGTTTTTTTATGTAAGTAAACAAATAATATATGGTACTACCTTATTCCCCATTTTCTGTTTCAGGAGATTTCTCTAAACAAGACTAAGGGAGTGTTTGCAATTGCTTCAACTTTAAAAAAGTGATTTTTTAAAGTGATTTTGGGAAAAGTGATTAATAGTAAAAGTTGATAGTGTTTGAGAAAAAAGTGATTCTGAAAAAGTAAAAGTTGGTAGTGTTTGGTAAAATAAGTACTTTTTGTGTACTAGAAAAGGTGAGAAGCAATTTAAAGCACCCTTCTACCTGCTTCCAATTTTTAGCTTTTAAGTAATTAATTTAAGCAGAAGTTGTCATTTGAAAACACTCTTTTCAACTTTTTTAAGCCAAAAGCTAAAAAACGCTTTTTAAAGCAATCCCAAACACTCCTTAAATAAAAGAATAATTGCAACAATGAGAGTTTAAAGTTTAAATTCTAAAAATAGGATTAGCTTTTCATATTCTACCCTTTCCCTTGTCCTTCCTAATAAGATTTTTTAAATAATCATTATAAAACATAAAAAAATTAGAATAAAAAATTAAAATCTTAATAAATAAATAAAAAATACACAGACGTCAACCACCATCTAAGCCACCTTCCAGCACCTCCAACTCAGATTGCCAGAAAAGATTGCCAAGTTGAGGAAAACATGTCATCTTCATGACATTTTCAGAGAAATGTGACATTTTTTACACAAGATGATATTTTTCCCGACGATCGAAGGTGGTGGTGCTGGCCTGGGAGGTGGAGGAAGCGGAGGTAGTGGCCTACCTATTTTTTAATATTTATTAGGCATTTTATTTTATTTTTTACAGATTTTTTAAGTTTTTTTTTTAAAATTTTTTAATTTTTTAACTTTTATTTTTCCCTGAATTTTTTTGAATTTATAAATATTCTTACGTTTTTTATTTTTATTATTATAAATAAAACTATGATTTTTTATTAATAAATAAATCTATTAAAATTCATAGGTTGAGGGTAGAATAGGGAGAAGAGACATATAGTATTACTCCTATTTTTGGAATTAAAGAAGTATAATCCTAATGTGTAATATTGGGCTACTTTTAGTCCCATTTAGGGCTAATACCCGTTTGTGTTTTCTGTTTTGTTTTTGTTTTGCATAATTATTAAGGTAAAAATAATTTTAATATCCTAACTTTGAAGGAGTGTGAGGTAAATAATCTAAAGTTACACATGTAATATATATATATATATATATATATCCCAAATTTTATAAAAAAAAATATGTTTGCACCATAATCATATGCTTTTTTCACAAATGATACTTATGGTATTTAGTACATGATTTAAAATACACTAAGCATTTATGAGGATGCAATTAAAATTTATTTGTATCGGATGTAATATTATTTATTTCACATCCTAACAAAGCTTAGAGTATTTTAATTTATGTAATTATTCCAATAACTTTACATTTGTAGAAAACATACATACAATAATGGTGTGAAAATAATTTTTCGTATAAATTAAAGTTCGAGGTATATATATTACATATGTCAATTTGGACTTTGGAGTATCAATCTCATACTTCTTCAAAATATGAGGTCTTTATATTATTTTTCTCAATAATGGTAGCGCAATAGTGAAATTGACAGGGAGTAGGCATGGACCCAGTCTGGCCCGGTCTAGAACCGGGTCCGACACTGTTTGAGCCCAGATCGAGTCCGTTTTTTCCGGTTCACAGATTTGGGGACCGAACCGGGCAATCCCGGTCTTTTTAATCAAGAAAGATGTTCCATTTTGTAGTTTTGGTCGCGACCGACGTTTTTTTTTGTTTCAACCTTGGAACCGGGCAGAATTTAAAAACAATGTAACGAGGCCAAGTCTGGAATCGGGACCAAACCTACTGATTACCCATAACGTACCAATCCAAATCCGGAAATAACTTGACCAGTGCCGGGCTTCATCCTAAAATGTTAAGGACTGTGCGGTCTCAGCTCGAAATCGGGATCGGATCGACATGGACACCCGAGTCCATGCCTAATTGGGAGTGATATGAAAACTACAATGACATTATGTTTTTTCTAATTTATAACTTGTTAATTACATTTTTTCCATATATAAAAATTAGTTTTTAGAAATAAGCAACTTTAGGAAAATGAATAATTAGAAGTCTTATAATTTCTCTTTGCAGGTGCTAGCAAGTTACGTACTCCACTCCTATAGTCCTATTTAGGAGTATCTATGCATGCGTTTTCCCTTTGTAGGAGACTAGGAGCAAGTCACTCCTATTACACATTATTAACCACAGCTCCTTTTACATATGAGTGATTGTCATCATCTCGATTTAACAATCTCTAATATGGTCAATCTTCTACAACAGAAATTCTTTTTCAGGTTACGATTAAAAAGTAATGTTTATTCTATTTTCTAGCTCAGCAAGAAAATGGGAAATGTGTAAAGAGCAAGCACAATATAGAATATACAGTACACTTTCTTTTGACATATAAATACAAATTACAACCGAAAAAAGATACCAAATTCAAGAGGGATACATGGATTTTGAGGTCATTTTAGACCTGGCCATGTAACATTATTTATTGCTGATCAAGTCATCAGTAATTATTGCATACAATCTTCATTTACTTTTTCTAGCTGCTGCATTCCAATCCTCTTTTCATTCTCATTGACCTAACTAGTTAAAAGGGGAGCCTGCAGATGGTAGATATATATGCATTTATATCTTGAACTAATTCAGCAAATATGTGCGTTAAAGATAACTAATCAAAAGAAAAAAAGCACTTCACCCTTATGAGTTAGTTTAAGACTTCAAGTGTTAAGAGCTAGTAGTTTTAATAATGGAAGTGTTTTAATATATAACTTAGGCCGCTTATCAAACAAAAGAGTCAACCAATAATTCATTTAATCCGTCAAAAGGTATGTTCAGGGAGTTATGTTTTGGATGGGAGGGTAAGGGTTAGGAGGGTTTAATTTATGACCTCTCCTATCTTGTTTGGAAGTTCACGAAATTGGGAAGAATGGTCTTGGAGGTTCTTATAACCCTTCAAATGCTCAATTTTTAGGTTTCTCCAAACTGAAGGTTTATAAAAGATAAATAATTAAACGATAACTTTGACTTAATTAAAAATGAATATAAATTTAACAAATTAAATTTGACATATTTTTAAATATTCAAATTTGCAACTTTCAAACAAGAAGGTTTTCATCTCAGTACCCTCCCCTTCCCTCATAGAACTAACCTTTAGAACCTTCCCTTCCCTTCAAACTGCCAAACATACCCTTTAACGAAAACATCATTAAATTCGATAATAAACTCGAATAAATAAAAAGATGGGTTCTCTTAATCGGACTTACCCTAGCTTGAGTGAGGTGTCTGATAGATAATCTTCAGGAGGAGGAGCGCTCCTACAGACGATGGATTCTGAAGAAATACCTTCTTCCCCATCAGCAGTGGCAGGAAACAATTTCCCATTACTCACCTGTTGTTAATTATACTAATCTGTCAACTAATATAAATTGAAGTTTCTTCCCTATAATTTTGATCTAATCGAACACACATAGAAACATTCTTTACTTTTTGTTTCAGTTTCTTATTTTCTTCCAAGAGCTCTTCACCCTGCTCACATGTTGGACAAAAAGAAATACAAAAGTAATCAAAACAAGTTAAAGCAAAGCAAACCCAAATTCACCAAAGTAATTATTATAGTAGTAGTCCTCTAACTTTATTCAGTTGCAAATTTGGTCCTATAACTAATAATATTTTTCAAATTAAGGACTTTACCTCTGAAAAGTACACTTTCCGGCGTAAGTATACACGACCAAGAAAGTAATATTACAGATGCCGCCGACATCCGTTTTTTTTTTTTTTTTTTTGCCAGAAAGTGTACAAGAAAAGTACAGGAAAAGTCATGAAATTGCAAAAAATTATTAGTTACAGGACCAAATTTGCAGGTGAGTAAAGTTACATGATTAATAATGATAACAATCAAAAGTTACGGAACTAAAATTACAAATCTCCCTTATACTAGTATCCCACACGTGCATTGCACAAAATATATGGGGTTTTTTCTACTATACTCCCTCCGTCCCTGTTTTATCTCCCATTTCGGCTGGGCACACTAATTAAGATAGTGGGATTTGTGTGGTGAAGAGTTGTGCAGAGGAGAGAGAAATGTGTAAGAATGGTTGTGAACCATAAATTCTTTGTTAAAAAGGGAAAGAGGAGATAATTTTGGGACGGATGAAAAAGGAAAGTTTGAAGATAATTCAGGGACGGAGGGAGTACTAAAGATGCATAACATCTGTATACGCCGTGCTAATAGTAGTAACTACGTACTTTAGTAACAATGGTTATGTTCAACATTGCACATGACTGATCATAACCATATTCATAGTAATTTTAGTCAAATTTTTGTGCATAAATTTTAATTTTACTCCTATTTCAGCAATATTTCAGCAATATTTTAGAAAACCCCCTTAGGATACTTCTATAGTTAATTTATTTCTCACGGAGTACTTCTTAAGTTCTAAAAATAAGTGCAGTAGTTAACTTTTCACATTTGCCGATGCACAACTTTAATCATTAATAAATACTCCCTCCGTTTCTCAAACAAAGTCACACTTTCCCTTTTTGGATGTTTCCAAAACAAAGTCACACTTCCCTTATTTCCTTATTTGGCAAAGAAATCTACTTCAAAACAGTGCCAAACAGTGTCAAACAGTGTCTTAACAGTGCCAAACAGTGTTTTCTACAGTAAAGTCAATTTATTTCCTTAATCCTTGAGAAGTCAAACCGTGACTTTCTTTGCGAAACGGAGGGAGTATAATTCTCTATTGGTGAAAAAAATTTAAAAAATCAGATTTTGAAAATTTACAGTGAGACAAATTTAACAAAAAAAATTTCAAAAAAGAAATTATTAATACATTAATAAATAAAACGTAGTTAAAGCGGAACATGTGAATAGTATAAAAATCACATTCATCTTTCACTACAATGCATTATATCCTTATTACTTATTAAGGGTTGGACAATTTCTTCCAATGTTTTTAGATTGAAACGCTTCCAAAGGCCAAAGCTAGCAAGTGTATACTATAGACAAGAGATGATATTAACAATTCATACGGAGTATAATAATAACAGGCCATTGAATAATGAGGGTTTGGTTTTGCAAACCTTCCTCTCGAGAGCAGCAATCTCGTTCATAACTCGTTCAGTCTAAAATAACACATTAATGAACATAATTGTTGCAAAAGTTAGTTTTTATTTCTTTAAAAAGATATTTCCTCCGTTCTATAAATAAATGTAATGGTCAACATTTCACACTTGCCGAAACACAACTTTGACCATTAATAAAAATGATTTTGTATTAGTAAAAAAATTAAAAAAAATTAGATTATGAAAATTTACAATGAGACAAATTTAGCAATATTTTTTTCATAAAATAATATTATTACATTAATAAATACTACCTCCGTCCCTTTTTTATTGGGACGGAAGAGAGTGGCACAAGTTTTAAGAAAAATGGGTTTGTGTGGTTGATATTAATTAATAAAGTACGAATAAAGTAAGAATGATTTTGAGCCACACAAGCTTTACCAAATAAAGTATGAGACAATTAAATAGGGACATCCCAATATGGTAAAACGGGACATTTAAAAGGGGACGGAGGGAGTAAAACGTAGTCAAAGTAGAACATGTGAATAGTGTAAAAGTCAAAGTGTTGCATTTATTTAAGAACGGAGGTAGTATTAAGCAACCCTCCGCCCAAATCCCCCACTCAAAAAAAAAAGAGAGCGAGAGAAAGAGAGAATTAACCTTAGCTTCAAGCACACGATTTAATCCTAATTGGATCTTTTTTTCTAACTTCTGCAGCTCTTCTATACTCAACTCTTGAAGTTCTTCACCCATTAACATCCTGTCATCATTTGTTTTAATTAAACTAACTTAATATAATTATTAAGCTAGGTTAAATTTATTGCTCACATATATTAATTAAACTAGCTGCATGGCTAGCATCCATTTATTATGAATAATCGAAAGCTAGCTTACTATAATACTATAGCAAGCTAACTATTCTCATATATATATATATATATATATATATTTGTACCTGCATTCGTGAGTCTTATCAGCAATCTCCTTCCTCAATCTCATATGAGCACTATTCTCTAGCTAAAAGCATAAAGAAAATATGCATACTTCAATAATGACCAAATTAAATTTATAAGCACACGCATGAACAAACTTGATAGTGGAGATTTGTTCAAAAAGAGGCTTTTCCCCTAGGGTTTTCGGGGCGTGGGATTTTCGGCGAAGCACTGGCTGAGGGGCTCCTGGCATGGAGAATGCCTGGTTCGATCATTTTGAGAATAAGACGAGTCTACTGAGCTAGAATTGCAGTGGATTGGGAAATTTGGCTACCACACAAGTTCTGTATGATTTGGTGAGAGAAGAGAGGCCGTCGATGCTATTTTTTACGGAGACGAAGGTGAAGGTCTCTCGGGCTGAAGAGTTGGGCGCGCGACGAGATTCTGAAAGGCTGCAGGTGTGGACAGCGAAGGTACGTGATGGTCCCAACTGAGGTAAAAGTCTAGAGAGGGAATGAACTTTTAAATCTTTTTCATTTTTAAACCCTTTTTCTTCTAACAGAGTGAGTTCCAATATCTTTTGAGAGATATTGAAACATTCAGCGGAAGTCTTGACCTCAAGAGTGTGAAACTTTATCGTAACAAATGTTTTGACTCTTTTAGTTGTATGAGAGATGGATTGAACAATGTGCATATGTGTTAGCCAAGGGGTTGTTGCTGATTTCTTAAGGAGCAGGCTGCCAAATTTCTAGGAGCATGCTGTTGAACCTTTTAGGAGCAAGCTTCCGAATGAGGCTATTGCTTTTATGTTTAAGAAACAGTAAGTGTGATCTAAAACATTAATAGACTTTCAGAACAAACTAAACACATGAGTATGAAAGATTTAGACCTATTTAAAATAGATCTATTTGATGAATGAGGATTAAGAAACAAGCAGTTTAGTACACAGTAAACTGGGCAGTTCACTGGACAGTGTAATGAGCAAGCGAAGGTACGTGATGGTCCCAAGTGAGGTAAAAGTATAGAAGGGGGAATGGACTTTTAAATCTTTTACATTTTCAAACCCTTTTTCTTCTAACAGAGTGAGTTCCAATAGCTTTTGAGAGATATTGAAACATTCAGCGGAAGTCTTGACCTCAAGAGTGTGACACTTTATAGTAACAAAGGTTTTGACTCTTTTAGTTGTATGAGAGATGGATTGAACAATGTGCAGATGTGTTAGCCAAGGGGCAGGCTGCTGATTTCTTAAGGAGCAGGCTGCCAAATTTCTAGGAGCATGCTGCTGAACCTTTTAGGAGCAGGCTTCCGAATGAGGCCATTGCTTTTATATTTAAGAAACAGTAAATAAGTGTGATCTAAAACATTAATAGACTTTTAGAACAAACTAAACACATGAGTATGAAAGATTTAGACCTATTTAAAATAGATCTATTTGATGAATGAGGATTAAGGAACAAGCAGTTTGGTACACAGTAAACTGGACAGTTCACTGGACAGTGTAATGAGCAAGCGAAGGTACGTGATGGTCCCAAGTGAGGTAAAAGTCTAGAGGGGGGAATGGACTTTTAAATCTTTTTCATTTTTAAACCCTTTTTCTTCTAATAGAGTGGGTTCCAATATCTTTTGAGAGATTGAAACATTCAGCGGAAGTCTTGACCTCAAGAGTGTGACACTTTATAGTAACAAAGGTTTTGACTCTTTTAGTTGTATGAGAGATGGATTGAACAATGTGCAGATGTGTTAGCCAAAATCAGCCTTCTCAAGGGGCAGGCTGCTGATTTCTTAAGGAGCAGGCTGCCATATTTCTAGGAGCATGCTGCTGAACCTTTTAGGAGCAGGCTGCCGAATGAGGCTATTGCTTTTATGTTTGAGAAATAGTAAGTAAGTGTGATCTACAACCTTAATAGACTTTTAGAACAAACTAAACACATGAGTATGAAAGATTTAGACCTATTTAAAACAGATCTATTTGATGAATGAGGATTAAGGAACAAGCAGTTTGGTACACAATAAACTGGGCAGTTCACTGGACAGTGTAATGAGCAAGCTGTTTATCTGGGAAAGTTGTGAAGGTGAGTGAGAACTGTAGTGTGTAGTGAGAACTGAATATATAAGGTGACACAAGATATATCATGGTTCAAAGGTGGTGTAATCCTCCTACATCCACTCCCAACCTATTTCAGATGGATTTCCACTAAATATATCCTGGGCTGCAGGCATAGATTGTGAGGTTTTTCAAAAAAAATTTGAACATCATTCCAAGCTACTCAGTCCTCCAAGGTTTTTCACTAATGGCATTGACTTGCCAGAAGCTACTCATGTCCTTGTCCTTCACACACCTTCTGAATTTGTTCTTTAGAGCTACACGGGGAGAATGTGATGCTATTAAAGGCATTTTGGATAGGTATGAATTATTTTATGGCCAGACATTTAATTTCAATAAGTCTAGTATTTCTTTTAGACCAAATGTAGAGGGGCTGGTAACGGAGTACTTTTTTCAGACTATAGGGGTGAGGGGGGTATGACCAATCTCTCTATCTGGGGTTACCATCGTTAATTGGGAGAAATAAGGATGATATTTTGAGATATTTACGCGATAGGATTGTGTCGTGTATTAAGACTTAAGAGTTGGAATAATAAATTTTTATCTAGGGCTGGTTGGGTGGTTTTGTTGAAGAATGTGATTCAGGCGATGCCTAGTTATGCTATGAATGTCTTTCTGCTTACTAATCATTCGTGTGAAGAAATTGAGCGGTTTATGAATGGATACTGGTGGAGGGAAACAAAGTTTGACCAGAGAGGGATTAGATGGAGGAGCTGGGAAAGGATGTGTCACCCACGCAGTGAAGGAGACTTGGGGTTCAGATGAGTTAGAGATTTTAATTTAGCTATGTTAACTAAGCAGGCATGGAGGCTTGTGGTGGATAAGTGGAGTCTTGTGGGTGGAGTTTTTAAAACAAAATATTTATCCTAATTCTTCCTTCTTGAATGCTCGTATGAGGAATAATCCTTCTTATATTTGGCGGAGTATTATAGAGGCGCAAGTTATTTTGAAAATGCACACTCGTAAGATAGTGGGTAATGGTAGAGATACTCAGGTCTGAGCGGATAGGTGGCTACCTGGGGAGAGTATCGGTTGAGTTCAGTCTGATCAGCCAAAGGGAGTTCGTGATATGAATGTGGCAGCCGTGAGAGATGAAACTAGAGGAGCTTGGAATGCTAGCAGAGTGCGATCTATATTCTCACCAGAGGAGAGCGAGAGGATATTGAGTATTCGGATTAGCTTAATTATATGACAGGGCTGATCGTGTTTTCTGGATGGGGAGAAAATTGATTTTTTTCAATGAAAAACTTAATATAAAGGTAGATTCTACGGTACCCATAAGGTACCGTACCTTTGTCCACATGGACCGATCAGAATCATGCAGTTGAATTATTTAAATCTAAATTAAAAGGGATTTACTGATTTGGACCAATCAAATGCATGGTAGGTACGGTATCTCATTTTTTAAATGGGTACTGGTGGTGTCTGCTAATTGGATGAAGTGGACCGTGATGTGGTCATTTGAAATTCCTCTGAAGCTAAAAATTTTCTTTTGGCAATTGATGGATGGATCACTCCCTATATCTGTTAATCTTAACAAAGGGGGGTCATTGTATCTTTGATTTAAAGGTTTGAGGCATGGGTAAAGGTAAATTTGGAGGGGAATGATCAAGTTCGGTGTGGCCGGTTTATAGCAATAGCAATTTTATGGAGTCTCTGGAAACGGAGGAACATTATTGTATAGTTGAAGTAGTACCTGAAGTTCAATAGAAGGTGGAGGATTTGTTTTCTCATTATCATCACTAGATTGCAACTTATACTTTCCGAGGACTTCCTTCATGCTACAGTATTACAAAGAAAAATATGTTAACTAATGAAATTGTTTAGCTGTCGTCTTCTTAATTAATATAACCATGTAGCGGCCGGTTGATGCAATTAACTATTGCAATTAAGGGAAAAAATTGTTTACTCAAAAAAGAATTGCTCAAAATAGGAGTAAAAGATGGACAAATTTTAAGAATAGGATAGATAAAATGTTTTTATTCTCAAAATATGACTATTTTAGTCCTATTAATTAAAAGAATAAAATAGTTTCCAAAACCGGAGAGAACAAATCCTATTATGGGGAAAAAAAGAAATCACACACCACTTATTGAGGAAATTTATTTGTTGGATTCCTATTTAGGAATTTTTCTCTAAATAGCATGGGCATGTAACCGGGTACTACATTAGTTAACATACAAACATTGATGAACCTTTAACTTTTCAGTTGGGAGGTATTCACGAAGAAAGAAGAGTGAAATAAAACAAACTCATCTTAATACATGATTATGTGCACTCAATCTTTTAACCCCTTCCTATTTCATAAATTCTACATAGTTTGCTTTAGGGTTAATTATCAAAATGGGACTAAAAGTCACTCACTTTGCACAAATAGGACCAAAAACCAAACTATGTTTCCATAAGACTAATTATGTGTGTCTTGGACAAATACACCCTTATAGTTATTGGAATGTCTTAATTTATACTCCCTCCGTCCCTAAATTTACTTCCAACTTTCCCTTTTCGTCCGTCCCAAAAAGAACTTCACTTTCCCTTTTTGGCAAAGAATTTGTGATTCACAGCATTTCTCTCTCCTCTGCACAACTCTCCACCACACAATTCTCACTTTCTTAATCACTGTGCCACTTTAATTTGGAAGAACAATCAGGGACGGAGGTAGTAATAAAATAATAAAAATTCGTAAAAACAAAACCAAAAATCAATAATTTGATTTGAATAATAATAAGTTGAAAAAATTAAAAAAAAATAAAAAAATAAAAATGCAAAAAAAAAAAAAAAACCGCCGCCTCTGCCGCCCCAGCACCACCACCTTCAGTCATTTGGCGAAAAAATGTCAAATTCATTATGAATGCCATATTTTTGGTAGAAGTAAGAATGATTCAAGTTGGCAGAATGATTCAACTTGGCATTCTCAAAGAGAAATATGCCATTTTTTGGCATTTTTAGAAGAAAAAAATGACAATTTTATGTAAATATAACATTTTTTTGTAATGGTCGGAGGTGGTGGTGCACGGAGGCACCACCACCACCTCCTGTCATCAAGGGAAAAAATGCCAAAAATATTACGAATGCCATATTTATGGCAGAAATCAAAATGATTCAAGTTGGCAGAATGAAAATGTTGGCATTCTCAATGAGTAATATGCCATTTTTTTGGAATTTAAAAAAAATGGCATTTTTTACACTAATCGGATGTGGTGGTGGAGGGAGGTAGTACAGGCGGTGGGAAAGACATCCATATTTTTTTAATTTTTTTATGGAGTTTTACTATTTTTATTAATTTTCAAAAAACAATTAAAAAAATTGATTTTTTATTTTATAAAAATTTTATTAATTTTTTTATTATTTTTCTATGAATTTTTGAAATGTTTTCAAATTTTTTATGAATTAAAAATTTAATTATGACTTTTGACTATGTTTTACTCATGTCTAACGGAGGGGTAGGAATGGAATGAAGAAATAGGTATGTTTCCAATACGACCAATATGGTCCTATTTTGGAATAAAAAAACACAACAAGACCTATTTTGAATTTTTTGACATAGTTTTAGTCGTATTTGAAGTAATTTCTATTTGCTTTAAAGTGCTAATATATTTTCACTCTTGTTTGGTTGAATATGAGTATATGATGATGAAGTCAAAGATTCTAAATTTATTTCCCCAGAGTTTAATTTAATTTGTAGTGTTGGGTTCAAAATGTGTGTAGGAGAAACATTAGAGTTTCTACTCACTCCCTATGCAAAATGGTAAAGTCCAATACAATTCTTTCAATTAATCAATTGTGAATGAAAATGACTATCTTTATGGACTACCTTACCCCGTTATTTGTAATATAAGGTTTTCTTTAATACGTAGTACGGAGTACATTACATTATTAATTACACCAATCCACTTTAATATAGAAAAAAGGTATTAAGAATGAAAGTCTAATCTAAAATTCACCCTTATCTCCCCTCTCCTCCCATTACAAGAAAGACATGGATAATTTGGAAGGAATTAATAATATTTTATTCCCCAAAATACTCTTTTCCTTGCAAATGTTTTTTGTTTTGCATTTTCTACTGTATTGTATCATCACTCTCTTGCTACAGTGTTGGATCAAGGTGCCTTCATAATAATATAGCTATTTTAAACTTCCCGGCAGGCCGTCACACATCCTTTTAAGAAATCACCTCCCTCAACTTCTAAGAGCCCGTTTGAACCCCTTTTTTCGGCTTATCAGGCTTATCAGCCAGCTTTTTCACCAAACACGTAATTTTTACTTTCGCGTGCTGAATTGTGTAATAAGCACAAAAAGTAAGGTTGGAGTTACTTTTCTGGCTGTATTGGCTGAAGTTACTGTAGATGACCATTTTAGCTATTTTTACATGTAATTTTTTCTTTATTTTATTAATAAAATATATTTTTAAAATATATTTTTCTAGAATCAGCAGAATCAGCCAAAACAGCCACTTCAGCCAGAACTTCATAAATTTCAGCAGAAACAGCCAAAACAGCCGATTTTCGTGCTACCAAACGGGCTCTAAAAGATTGTTTCTAAAAGTGTTTTTTTATGACTAGTGCCCACCATACAAAATACTCCAATAATGATTCTTCCTACGGGTATGAAATAAAACTTTGAGAATAGAACTTAAATACTCAATCCCATTTACTGGTATATTGCATAGATTTGAACAATAATTTTCTCAACACGGTAGTTACTTTTAAAAATATTTTGTAAAAATTATGAGAAAATAGAATTGGGAAATACTCTCTTCGGTTCTTATTCATGAAATTTACACTTTCCTATTTTGGAAATACCATATTAAACTTTATATTTCCTCTTTGCCTTACAAATCTACACCAAACAGTGCAAAATAGTGTCAAACAATGCCAAACAGTGTACTCTACAGTAAAGTCAAATTTATTTCCTTAATATGTGTTAAGTCAAAGTGTCAAGTTCATTAAGAACCGGAGTGAGTAATTATGAGAAAATAGAATTGGAAAATAATGAGTTATCCTATTGAGTGTCTTAAGTCTTAACCTGATATATATAATAAAATTGAAATATTACAAGGCAATTGAGAAATGTGGCAATCGAGAAATGTGTAAATCCGAAATATTACATTATTAAAAATCATTCCAAGAAATAATTGAGAAATATTTTTTGTTGCGGAAATCATTCCACGCACGCAATTGAGAAATGTGGCAACCCTGATATTCCGTACTAATATTTAAAAACTCCGTACAATAAGTTGGGACATAGCCTCTCGAGCACGAGCTAATGAGGGTTGCTATGAGTGGACACAATCTGACCTAATTTTCTTCCTAGTACACAAATTCGATTCTGGGAATCCCAACAGTACCATATGTTACCAACCCATTAAATAGCCATTCCGCAGAAGCTAAGGGCCATGGTGCTCCCTACCGCAACTTGCAGATACTACCTACCTACTCTCCTCTATTCTTTCCCTAATTTAAAACCCTTCTCATATTTTCTTTTTCTACCATAACAAAAAAATCTAAATAGTTCTCTTTTCTTATTTGGAAAATAAAATAGTACAAACGGTGTTAAATAGTACTCCATATTTAAATAGTGTCATTTTTTTTTAAATTGTGTTCGAGTCAAAAGAGACCTTTTAAATTGGGACACAGGGAGTAAAAGAGTGAATTTGTTAATTATAATTAGTGTGTTAACATTAAGAATGCGAGCGGACGAGGTAGACGATAGCCCTAGGGTTTTTTTGTTGCCATCATTCATTTTTGGAAAAATAACTTTGAATAATATCAACTATAATCTACGAACCAATAATAATACAAACTTTGAAAATGACTTTTAATAATACCAACTATTTGACTGTAAAACAAAAATACTATGGAATCATTTTTTGACAAAAAAAACCGATCGTTTAAGACATCAAAAGCTAATGAAAACTCATCAAATAAATGATATTTGAAAATATATTCACTTATTAGATATTTTGACACAAATTTTTGATGAGTTAAATTGTTGAATTTTTTGTAAACAAAAATGCTCTATATCACTTTTGATCTATATTTAAATAGTTGATATTATTAAAACTTATTTTCAAAGTATGTACTCCCTCCGTCCCCGAAAGAAGTTTCTCATTTGACTTTCACACACTTTTATGCAAGTAAACTTACCAGGGGGTAAATGTTACTGTTTTGACACTGTTTCGACACTGTTTGGCACTGTTTGACACTGTTTTGCACTGTTTTGATGTGGATAACTTTCCATTTAAGGAAATGGGAACTTAAATTAGGGACATCCAAATAAGAAAAGTGGGAACTTCTTTCGGGGGCGGAGAGAGTATTATTCTTGGTTCACGGAAGATAGTTTGTACTATTTAAAGTTATTTTCCCTTTATAAAATAAAGAAGATAGTGTTTTAAAATAGAAGATATGTACATACATTTATATATAATTTGTGCATTCACTCAGTCAATTTAGTTTCTCCATACAATTTTATTTATCAAGTCCATACTTTTATTATTATACACCAGTTTCTGTCATGTTGCGAATAATAATGATATGAAAAGTCGAATATTGCAATATAAAATTAAATAAATAAATTTGGTATTTAAATTTTTTGTCGTTCATTCAGAACTATTTTTGAAAAAAAAATGACTGAATTTAAAAAAAAGTATGGGATCTTAATACTAGGCTATTGATGCTTAGACCTACTTAAAAAAATTGATCCTAAAAATCTTAATAGTTAATTTCATATTTTTCAAATTATATATATATGTAATATTGATATTATATGAAAGATCATAAAAGTTTATGATTTTTTTATATATTTTTTTAAAAAAGTGGAGTATAAATAAAATAGTCATAACAATTTAAAAAATAATAATATTTTTCCAAATGGATTGGAGTCCATGTTTTTTTCCTTCCTCCAAGACCAATAGGGGTATCAAATCCCCGCCCCATGGTCCCATATACTCGCATAATTTGGCAAAATCTTATACGTAGTACATTTTTAATGGGTTGCACAATTATTCGGATGAAAAGATCAAAAATAATTTTTTCACACTTTAATTTGGCAACAAGCCTAATAGCTTTGGCAAAAACAAGTGTGTAGCGTTTTTATTTATTTTTTATTACTTTGTAATAATCAATTGAATTGATCACACGATTAATTACTCATTTCAGTTTCAAACGAGTAATAATAATAATAATAATAATAATAATAATAATTACCCAAAATCAATACCAGCCTGCGTCCTACATTCAACATAATCCCAAGATTCTCTCACTATGTGATCGAACATAGAAAAAATTATCATGAACTGATCAAATCGTGATAATCATGTGAGAGCTTTGACTTGACAACCCCTAATCTCAACACCTCTAATCATAATAAAACTAAACATTACAAGAATGACCAGTGGCGTATCAAGGAATTTTTGTCAGTGGGAGCGGATTTGTATTAGCGATTACATTAATAAAAATAGTGTAAAATCAATTAAAAATAACAAAATATTCGTGGTACAAAAATATTATGAAATCATACTTAAAATTTTCATGACAGCTAAACTTTTACTTTTCTAAAAATAAAACTGTAATGGTAGCTTAAAAATGAATAAAAACAAGAATAAAAAAAGAAATGAATCAAATATTTATTTACAATTAGCTTAAGTTGTGAATGCACAAGTATATCTAAATATCATATTTTATATTAAATTTGAAAATGTAATGGTTAAACTTCATAAATCATATGTAAGAAATTAAACTGAAATTATATTAAAGTAGTTCAAACAAACCAAAATATACATACAATTCTCTAATACATTAAATTAGTTTAGAGTTTCAGTCAAAAAAATAGTTAGAGATTATAAAAATGTAAGCGTAAAAACAACATAGAAAGGGTAAAGAGGCTGAGGATCGAACCCTTTGACCAAACCGCTACCTTGAAAAGTAGGGTACATCCAAATCCACTCCACCAGTGATACCTATACTTACTAGACTCGTTTGTAATGTAAAAATCACGTATACTCCGTAATTAATACCTGTTTACACATAATTTTATACTCCGTATTTGATATGTATATATAGGGGTTGGGTGGGGTTGAGTGGAAGCAGCTGCCCCCCTGTCCCCCTGATGACACAAATACAACACAAACTAAAAACTACTCCGTAACTAAAAACTAGAGTAATTATTGACCTGAACAAATATAAAAAAGGGCATAAGCTTAATGTAGAAAACAACAAATAGACAAACTTCATCTAGCCAACTTTCTAACCCAAGCAACGAGTTCAGTTTTTTTGCAGAGGTTCATGAGGGAGACTAGACATTGGCACCACCGTACCGATGACATAGTAAACATCATGCGTGATGTTTTTTGACCAAAATAGATTCAGGAGCATAGGGATATCATAATCACGGAAGAAGAAACACAAATATAAAACATACATGAGCAAGCGCTCCATGCCTACCTAGTATGATTTGCTTTCTGTCATGCCTGTCGCACATGATAGTTGTTATTATTCAAAGTTATTTTTCATTTTATATATATAAACACCCACGCGCTCACACGCACACATTACTCGTACGTTATTAAAACAAGTGAAATTCGACAATTAAGCCATTAAATCATAATATTTCACCTTAAAATGAAGCTTAACCTAATAGGGTAGAAATAATAATACTTTTATATACGTTAGAGAAAAGGGGCAAATAAGTCCACGTACTAACAAAAAAGGATCAAATAAGCCCTTATAAAGGAGGCTCTGTCCGGCCGTCGTCATTTAGGAAGGTTCCTGGTGAAATTTTTTGATGAATTTTTTTGAGCATCTTATTCATTAAGTCTAGTTTACTCATATCAAATTTCAGTTAAAACTACAATCGGGAAGACATTCAAATCAATTCTTGAAGATAACTGTGCAGTTAAAAGCGCAGTTATCTTCAAGAATTCATTTGAATGCCTTCCCGATTGAATTGTTAGCTGAAATTTGGTATGAATAAACTAGACTTAATGAATAAGATGCTCAAAAAATTCCACCGGGAACTTCCCCAAATGGCGACGGCCGGACAGAACCTCATATATAAGGACTTATTTGATCTTTTATGGTTAGTACGTGGGCTTATTCGCACCTTTTCCCTATACTTTTATAAAGCCTAATGCATACAAAAAAAGAATACACACACATCTATAATTAAAAAAGGGATTTAGGGAGAAACAAATTAAATACCCGTAGTACTACGTAAATATTATTTCCGTTTACAAATCAAGAATGAACCCACCAATATAATACTCCGTACGTAGTATAAGTAAATAAATAAATAAATACATACATACATAAATAAAAAATGATAAATAAATGAATAAATAAACAAAATAAATAAATATATAAATAAATAAATAATATCAAAGAGGGAGAAAGATATCAACTAGACATTATTTCTTTTTACAAAAAACTAATCCGTATACATTATTTCTTTTTACATTTTAATGTAAGCTACGTAGTATGTTTTATTACTTTTTTTTATTTCAACTGTCACATACATATACTCCCTCCGTCCCTTATAACTTTGCCAACTTTCCTTTTTTGGATGTCCCATTAACTTTGCCACTTTCCCATTTAAGTAAAGAATTTGTGGTTCCAGTTAATTCCCTCTCCTCTGCACAAACCTCAACCACACAGTTTTTATTTTATTAATCCCCGTGCCGGTCAAACTTGGCAAAGTTATTAGGGACGGAGGGAGTAATACGGAGTAATAAATACGAAAAAGGTCTTGTCTAGCTAGATCGAGGGATAGGATCCTCCATCCAGCTGTTGCCATTTGGGACAGTTCCCGATAGAATTTTTTTATAAATATTTTGAGCATGATTCTCATTAAATCTAGTTCATCGGCAAAAAATTCAGCTTAAAATTTGATCGGGTATGTAGTCAAATAATTTTGAGTGCGTTTTGTATGTACATTTGGGTCAGTTATCTTCAAACACTTGTTTAACTGCCTTACCTATTGAATAAATTAGACTTGATGTGAAACATGCTCAAAAAAATTATAAAAATATTCTACCGGGAAGTGCCCCAAACGGCAGCGGATGAATGGAGTGTCTGGTCCCTCCAACTGGACAAGATCATTCCTCCTAATAAGTAAAAAAATGAGCAAATAAATAAATAAATAAATAAATAAATAAAAAATAGGGGGTAGGGCGTACCTAGAGCTAGCAAACTCGAAGAGCTTGCCGGTAGAAGAGAAGACGACGAGAGCAACTTGAGCATCGCAAAGCACAGAGAGTTCTTGAGCCTTCTTGAAAAGCCCTCTTCTCCTCTTTGAGAATGTTACTTGCCGAGCCGTTATGTTATCTATCTTCTTTATCTTTATCTTCTCTCGAGCCATTTTTTCTTTTTAATTTCTTCTATATTAATTAATTAATTTTCTTCTTTAAATATATTTAATTAATCTTCATATATATAGATGATCTTTCTTCCCGATCTGAATCATAAAAAAAAACATATACGTACATCAGATCCTTTCCACATCTAGTTCACAGAAATAATTTCTGTAGAGTAAATTTTCTTGGAGATTAAAGCTGGCCCTTTTTGTTAAAATTTATTTGGGAAAAAAAATAGTGTTGAGTTATTAACAGAAACCCTAACTAGATTACAAGCTAGAAAAAACTAAACAGAAAAACCCCATAGTAAAACCTGGATGAGTTGAATGGGATTTAAATCTCTTCCTCTAGATAGATCAGATGCATAAATTCTTCTTGGATTTATAGGGACTGTTTGGCATAAACTTCTCCAACTCTGTGCAGTGTTTATTAGAGATTCTATTCTATTTCTAGCCTGCAGATCTAATGGATATGGTGGTGCCTGGCTTCTTCTTTTTTCGCCTAAATAAAAAAATAAATATGGCCAAGTGATTCTCTGATACTTTACCGAAATAGAAAAGAGAGAGAAAGAGTGGGATTACTATTATTTTGAGTGGGTTCAATAAAGGAAAGTCCATTTCACAGTTCGGATCTAATGTAATGTGTATAAATGCACATACCTAATGAAAACCTATTCAGAAGTTTTAAGGTACTATTCTTAGTAATTTCTGTCGGTTGTCGCCGTTTCCCTTTTTCTTCTTTCTCCGGGCTGGTTTGGAACTGATTCTGCTTCTACTTCTTTTTTAAAGCAGAAACAGAATCAGAATCAGTTTTCAGAAGTTAGTACCTACCAGCTTCTAAAAAAAGTGATTCTGGGAGTAAATTAAAGCACCAGAAGTGCTTCTGGAATTTCACCCAAACACTTCAGCATCTGCTCCCTGAAAGAATAGAATTAGTTTTTAGAATCAGATCCAAACACCCCTTACAAGTGAAGCTAAAGAGGTGATTGCCCTTTTCACTCTCTCACTTTCAAAATGTGAATTTAGAGCCCTATGGGGTTGGCTCTCCATCTGGGCTTATCCCTATTTAAACACGCACTACCTCCGTCCCAAAAGACTTTGTTATTTCAAAATTTTGAACCATGATTTTCATTAGTACTACGTATAATATTAATGAAAGTTACTCCGTATAAATTTTATACTTTTATGAAAGTATTTTTAATAAAAAAACATTTTCATATAAATTGTATATTAAAAATAATTTCCAATAAAAAAGGTATAGTTGGTTAATGTTTTGAAAATGACAAAGTTTTTTGGGACGAGAGTAATTACTTTTTATTTGATTAGCTGAATTATGTAGTAGGTAAAATAAATAAGGTTGAAGTTACTCTCTGCCGCCGAATTAAGGTCTACACCTGAGAGAGCACTCCTCCGCAGTAGATGGCAAACCAAGTCAAGCATGTTGTTGCCATCAAGATTATGGGTCGTACCGGTTCCAGATAAAAAAGTTACTCTTGTCGTCGGTCGCTCGTCGAAGATGGAAAACCAAGTCAAACGTGATGTTGACATCAAGATTATGGGTCGTACTGGTTCCAGAGGGCAAGTTACTCAGATTCGAGTCAAGTTTCTTGATGACATGAACAAGTTTGTCATGAGGAATGTCAAGGGACCTGTCAGAGAGAGTGACGTCCTTACTCTGCTGGAGTCTGAGCGGGAAGCCAGGCAGTTGCGTTAATTTCATGAGTCAATGTCTCACTTTCACCTTGTGTTTTGCCGGTTTTGTTGAACTCCGCCAAGACATTGTTGGATTTACTTTTGTTTTTGTTTTTGAATATTTGGATTTCAAATCATGGCATTTGTTGGATTTGAGTTTGTGTTTGTGATCATACGTTTATCTTTTTATTGCAAGCTAATATTACTCTGTCAAAAAATGTAACGGTGAAGTTACTTTTCTGACTACTTGGCTGAAATTATAACTGAGATGTCTTATTTAGCTATTTTTCATAGGATTGGGCAACATTGTTTGGTTTAATCAAACCGAATCAAAAATTGGTGGTTTGGTTTGGTTTGAATTTACTTGAGTAAACCGTTTGGTAAGAATTTGCTCAAATCGAATGGTTTGGTTTGGTTTGCTTTAAAACCGAAAAAACCGTAAATAGAACACTAAACAATTTGTAACACACACACATAATATTCTTCACTCTTCATTTTTTATATTGGGAAAAGGGCCAAAAATGACACTGATGTTATTTAGTAATCTCAGATAGGACACCGAAGTTTAAAGTGGACCATTTAAACACATAAGCCACCTGTTTGGGTTACACTTGGCCACTCCCTAACCGAGTCGTCCAACTATCGTTAACTCTCTCCTCTCCCCCCAAATAAACGCTACCCAACAAAATTGACAACCCTAATTCATCTGCCATGAAGCTAATTCATCTGCCATGAAGATCCTTAGCCTGAAAGTGAGTGTGCTTAGAAGAAGAGTGATTACTTCCGTATGCACGTGAATGACTGGGAGTGCTTAGCGTCTCATTTTGGAATCCACAGTCACGCTTAAAGGTATTCAGTGTACTTATTTCCTTTTCCTCGTAAAGGATGAGTGAGTTGGTGAACCTGCGGTTTAATCAAGGTGGGAGATGGATTTTGCACCCGAAAATGAAATATGTTGATGGGGAAGTCCATACAATATATAGGTTTGATCCTGACTTTCTGTGCTTTCATGACATTCAAAGAACTTACAAAGAGGAATTGGGTTTCATAACACTAAAAAAACATTTATGTCTTGGTACCCGGAAAAGATTTGGACAATGGGTTGTTTTTAGTTCAAGATGATGACACAATTAGGAAGGTTTTGAATCGGATTAGGAATTTTTCTTGGATTGATGATATAGAGTTGTATGCTGATCATCAACTGGACGAGCCACTTCTCATTCCCCAAATAGAATGGTCTTCTGTTCAAAACAACCAGAGTGAGAATGTGACTAACCAAATCCCTGAAACGGTCAATGAGGGGGTACTTCCCCCTGAAACTAGAGGGGTGCCAAATGGTTATGTAAGTGATGGGGAAGCTGAAAAGGAACCACAAGATTCTGATAGTAGCAATGAAGAAGAGGAAGCAGAAGATAGTGATGAAGATGTGAGGGTTAACTACACTACCACAGATGGATTTACTTGTTTTATTATTGGGATGACTTTTGAAGATGTCCATGAGGCTAGAACTGCCATTGCAGACTATGGTGTGAAGTTTGGCTACAAGCTTAAAATCAAACCCAATGAGAAGAACAAATTGGCTGTAAAATGTCTGAATGAGGAAGGGTGCCCATTCAAATTATGGGTATCCAAATATGGAAAGAATTATGGCTTGGCAGTTAAAGTATGCAATCTAGAGCACAAGTGTTTCAGACACCTTTCCATCCCCAGTGCTTCTTAGAAATGGCTAGCAAATTACTTCAAAGGTCACCTACAAAAAAATCCAAACTTTAGGGTTGCTGAAATGAAGGAGAAGGCTGAGAAAGTTCTTAAGATTAATTTGAGCTTGTACAAGTGCAAGAGGGCCAAAAGACTTATCCTTCAAGAGTTGGATGTTAGTTATAAAGCAGAGTTTGGTTACCTGGAGGCATATGCTGCTTCTATAAAGAGAAGCAATCCTGGATCAAAAGCTGAAATTGAACTGTGCAGTCAATCCTTGAAAGATGGGAGGAGAGTCTTCAAAAGAATGTTTATTTGCTTTGATGCTTTGAGGAGAAACTGGATGGGTGGTTGTAGAAGAATAATTGGGGTTAATGGTTGCTTTTTAAAGGGATTTTGTAATGGAAACTTCCTTAGTGGAGTAGGTGTGGATGGAGATGGTAAAATGGTTCCAATTTCTTGGGCTGTAATAGACAAAGTAAACAGATCTAACTGGAGATGGTTTCTCACTTGGCTAGTTCAGAAATTAGAGCTTCACACTGGTGCTGAGTTAACCCTAATCTCTAACATGCAGAAGGGTTTAATAATTGCTGCTCAAGTGATTATACCTGATGCAGAGCACATGTATTGTGTTGGGCATGTTTATGCTAACTGGTCCAAGAAATGGAGAGGAGATCAATTTTGTAAGAGATTCTGGATTTGTGCATGGAGCACATATGAAGAAGAGTTGGAAATGAATTTGAAAAAATTAGAAAAGCTTAGCCAAGAAGCAACCTCTGATGTGTTGAAGTATCCACAAAATGTGTGTGTGTGTGTGTATTTTTACAATTTGAGGGCCCTTTTTTTAAATTTTGAACAGGGCCTTCAAAATCTCGGGACCGACCCTGATGCCCACCCCTAATAAAAATCATTGTCAAAGACTTCCAAACAATAAATTGTTAAATGGACTGATTTAGGTCACATATCAAAATTAAATGGGAATTTTACAGAAATGGACCAAAAACTAAAAATAATATCAATTTTTTTCATTTTAAAAATTTCTTTTCAAACGTAGACTCATTAAAGTTTTAATTTCAATAATAGACTCTACTACCGTAAAGCTTAATAGAGCGACGTTAAAAACATAACATTCTTATTCGTTAGTTCGTTACTATCTACCCTTCCGCTCTACTATCTACAACTCCACTTATTTTTTGAAACATTTATTTTTTCGGAAGCAAAATACATAAACAGGTAAATTTAAAAATATATATATATATTCAATAAGTAAATATTTAATTTTGTTGTTATTTGTTACATATTGTTTTTTGATTTCCTTTTGTTGCATATTGTTTCTATTTGTTTCCTTTTGTTGCATAATGTTTCTTTTTGTTTCCTTTTGTTAATATATGTAGAATTTTTGTTCTTTATTGTTTCATAAATGCAAGTTTATCATTTTTGTGATTTAATATAAATTTACAAATGATGTTTACTTCAAATTAGTAGCAAAGGTAAATAAAATCCTGCATAAACAACAAAAATCAAGAACAACAATAAAACAAAATACAACAAAAAGCAACATGATGCAACAAAAAGCAACATGATGCAATAAAAAGCAACATATCTAACACAACAAAAAATAATGTATAAAAGTATCACAACAATTATGTAATTCAATTTGGTATATCAATGTATTACATATATGTATTGTATAATGTGGCTTTCCATCACTTTTATTTATGCATCTTTTTTATAAAAAAAAATGCACAAAGTGAATACAACAATGGTTGTCCAAGTGTATAGAACACTGAAATGGTTGCACAAGTAAAAAAAATGCAAAAAGGTTGACCCAAGGTGTATATTGTTCATTCATAGAGTACTAACTGATGCAGTAATAGCATAGAATACTCTATACTATATATGAAGGTAAGGTTGGTTATAAGATGATTTCATCTCTAGTACTAAATATGTGAGGATGGCTTAACCTTTTCTGTTAGGAACTGAAGTAAGTGTTCATGTTTCCAGTTGTCAATTCTAATGGTTTCCTTGTGCCCTCCATCGTCATCTAGCATAATCAACTTTGGTGGAGAATTATATGCATATTAAACTTTTACAGAAGGACACTTTCTCCTTCTCTTGTTCAATAAAGCCAACAATTTGAGGTTAGAATACCAATTTTCTCATGCAGACTTCCACAACCTTGTTTGTGGCATCCTCTTGACCTTTCACATGCTCCGAAAGTGTTTTGCAATTGGAGCAGAGA